TGGCCGTCACTGTTGCATAATCGTTTATTATTCTCATTATGCAAAAGGTTTGAGACAGTAACATTTATTCGTATCATAACACTATCAAGTTTCAGGGCTGCCCATTTTATTTGTACATTTAAACCAATGGAATATTTGTGATTACGTTATTTATAAACTGCCGATATTTCAACGCTGTTCAAGCACCATAATTACGGGTCGGCTGTAAATGATGGAACTACAGATAACATAATATTACATAGTGGAAATTCTAAGTCTTTTTACGTACATCATCGCCACTGTCACTGGGAATCACTCATTCTTGAGGCTACTCTCGCTGGCAAAATCGACGACATACAGTCTAGCAGAAAGAGCCTAGCAGCGATCGACAACTAGTGATACCACGCTGCCTTTCTCGGTCACCCCTCCGATCGATCTCTCCTATCTTATGGGGATCGAAGTCCTTCCCCATTTTGGTTTAGAGAAGCTGTAAGTGTCCGTCAAACTGGAGTTGGTCTTTAGCCACTCCATATGTCCTGCGGGTTTGGACGACCAAAAGTGGCCCTGCACCAGTTCCCATTTTGGTTTAGTAAAGCTGTGGAGTATAATTTTCTACGGAATATTTTCTTCACTATTTACAATGATTGACCGGTTTATCGTAGGTAAGAACTACAACTAACACAAATTTTTATCTATCTATCTATCTATCTATAGATAGATAGATAGATAAAAATCTTTATTCGTATCCCGATAACAAAGAGAGTACAAACAAAATTCAAATAACACTTAAGAATAGTAAATAATTATAAAAAAAAACAACACATAATACTTTAACTTCCACATAAAATAAAAACATAAAATAAACATTAAAATACATATTAGGTGCCACAGGGATACGAAAGGGTTGAGCGAAGAGAGTGAACAATTTGCTCAGCGAGCAAAACACTGATTTTCAGTAGCAGCCCAGTGGTAAGCGTAAATAAAAAGCCCAGCCAACTACTAAAAGTCTAATGTATTTTATACTGTACTGTCTTTTGCATTTTAAATACTTGCTACTGTTTATTTATGCAAATAAATTACTGTAATAGCTATAAATTCTACCAAATTGATAGCTATCGTAAAATTTCGAAATTGAAAAAGACCTTATATTTTTCAAATTTGGAATCATTAATAGAAATAAAAATAATAATCAAATAATCTTAATATAATCACTTTAAATTGTCATATTTTTTTATTCTACCACTCATTCGGAATCTAGAGTCATCAGAAGAAGAATGAGCAATAAACTTGCGTGATGCTCTTTTAAATAAAAGTTTTAAATATTTTTTCAACTGTGCTACTTTATTTTCTTGTAATTTACTGGAACCTGAGTCATTTATTTGCGTTTGATTATATTAAAACTAGGAAGACATTAAACTTATTTGTTGTTACACATACTTAGGTACTCTTAACACGATTGTCTTTATAGACGGAAGCGAATTGATGACCTCGATGGGGTAGTGGTTTTAATCATTGCCACGCCTTCCGTTGGTCGCGAATTTGATTATATATCAAACAAAAAAGTACATAACTATACGTACGAGTATTAGTTATGTTTTTATAACTGTGATCAGGCAAGTAGGTAATATTTTTTTTTTTCAATTCGTAATAATCAAATGGTGCATCAGCCTGCACTAACGGTATACGGATCACCAGTGAAAGATGATAGGATGAGCATGAAGTTAGGTAGCATATATCGTCTGGATAGGCTATCAGTTAGCCTATCCAGTATAAGGTAGCCTATATACATATACCCATTCGTTACTATGTGAACTTATGAATGGATTTCTATTATGATTTAAACTTAACTTTAAATCTGGCCGAAAACAAAAACAAATGATTCATCAATTTATATTTCTGATTGGCTCACAGGTCTCACTCTGATATCAAATATATATATCATAATCAGCTAGTTTGTCCCCTATGCTAGAAATAGAAAACAAAAATAATCCGACAGACAACGGTGGGTCCGGGATTTACCCAACCTAAATAAGTTTCCCCTGCCATGTTAAATACAAATATACTGAGCGATACAAGTCAAGTGTCGAGTTCACCACAACATCGACAGTTGACAATACCTCTAACCACCTCATCTAAGATAATAGTCGTGGCGGTATGTTCTTGTAACTATGCTATAATAAAACTCGATACAAGGATATCGATACTTGTATGTCCTGTATTTAATAAAGATTATTATTATTTATTTAGTTTATGTTTATTTGCATAATAATCTCTAACGTCCACATATAAGGCTTTTAGTAAAGAAAATATGTTTAATGAATATTAATGAAGTTTTGTTGTTGGACATTATTATTACGTTATTTACATATATTATATTTATGATTATTATAATGTTAAAGACATTATAATAGTCCTAATAATAACTAATATTATAAATGGGAAAGTAACTCTGTCTGTTTGTCTGTCTCGCTTTCACGCTAAAACTCGTGAACCGATTTAAATGAAATTTGGTAGTTCCGGGATAAGACTACCTGTGATAGTCTAGATCCCGAGAAAGGACTCAGGTTACTTTTTAATCGTCATTTTTAAAGAATCGGCAATTTTATATTTGATTTTTATTGGGTTACATAACTAAATATTTTTTCATTATTTGGTGAAGCTCACTATTTTATGCGGACGAAGTCGCGGGTACTGCTAGTTATTAATATATTTAAAAATACTGTTATATCTCCATTTTATGACGAATAATATAATATCTAACTTCTTTATTGCCATTATTGCTGACCTACAGTAGATTTATAAAGAATGCTCAAGGTAAGCTCATAATTATAAAAAGTCAGACCAAGTTTATTGGTTTTAAGATGCTAGGAAGAGATACAAAACAGTAGGTACAAAACAGACGGCCTCGGTGGTTTAGCGGTTTATCATACTGCTTCATAGTCGCGAGTTCGTTCCTCGCACGATACAAACATTTGTATTCCTGAGTATATTAGTTGGTAGTGGTCTGGGTGTTTTCTAAATATATCATTCAAAAACAAGTTTTTATACCAGTTGTCTATTTCCCATAACACAAGTTTTGCTTGGTATGAACTAGATGGCGTTGTTTCAATTGTTCAATATTGTCAGATGTAATATTAGTAAGGTTTTTAACTAATAGTATATAGGAACAACGTTATATAATAGAATATTCAATGTATTACTAGTGTATACTGGTTTAAATAATAAGAATGAGAGATTTGACATATCATAAGAGTGTAATAGCCATATAACGAACACAAATCCTCGGAACGGTGAGGTCGCTCCGTGAAGCCTGTGAAGATACCAGCTTTTGCGCTTCTGGGAGGAGCTTGGCTGGTTACTCCCTGTCCCTCCGATCGATCCCCCGTCATCCCTCTGTTAGATCCCCCGTTCAATTCAAACGGGGATCGATATTACAACGGTCTGAGCCGAGGTTCGAACCCCTAGTGGTACCCTCAGACTAAAGTCGTATCCGTCAGGCGAGAGTTAGCCTTCAGCCGCTCCATAAGTCCTTCCGCGGGTTTAGATCTGCACTCGCCCCCTATCGTCCAGTGAAGCTGTAAAGGCCAGCTGCGGCCAACATCATTAGAGTAGTCCGAAAAAAAAATAAGGTATACTATAGTAGTTACGGCTCTACACGCACAATGACCCAGATAAGACGCTAAATGCGAAGAATAGAGTCCATATTACAATTATATTTTAGATTTACATGAGAATAAAGATATTTTCATTTCATTTGAATAACGTATCTATTTAACTGTAAGGGACATTCATAAATTAGACAATCCGATAATTTCTCTGATTGTTCTCTCCCATACCACACATGTTACTAACTGTGAAGGACGGTCCTCCACAGTTAGCACATATGTGAGTTATCCCTATAACTGACGTCAAAGTCTACTAATTTGAAATTGGGACTATTTTCATTAATGTGATTTAAGTATTGTGTTTACGATTTGGTCGACTACCATCTTGAGTTAGGTGTCTTGCACACTGCGCGGGAAACTACCATTGTTTGCTACGGAGATTTCGCTATGTTGTAGCACGTCTATAGAAAACGAGGTGTTTCATTATATTTATTTTACGTTAAGAATCTAACTACACATGATTAAGGGCTATATCGGAGCAGTGGTGTAAGATCTGCTCTTATTTCGCTACACATGTAGTTATAAAGCTTCCTAGACGATAATTGTCGCTAACGATTAGCTTATACACGGGACGATCTAAGAAGTGATTCTGTCCTGTCTCCATCACTGCTATATATTGCCCCTAATTCTAGGGTCGTGTATAGTTTAGAGTTGCCACCTTTTCAATACAAAAAATATACTTTATAGAAAAATGGCATCATTGAATAATTTAGAGAAAATTTTACTATTTCTTTAACATTATTTATTTTATTGTTTGTTTCCATTTATTTGTTAGTTGAAATAGCAAAAAAAATACTCATGGTTATTATTAATTTTTTGTTATGACAAGTGACAAGCGTGACAAATTTGTGAGTGAAGTTACCTCTAAACTTACCTCACATTAACAGAGTAAGTATAGTGGTGCCCAAGTAAACAACATAGAAATATTGATTAACAAAAAATATATAATATAATACACAATAATATAGATAAGTTACATCAATATGACGTCACATATTCTCTTTTCAAATATACAAACATACTTCGTCTGCCATACCAGCCAGTCTAGTCATCGATTGCTAACCTCGTTCTAACAATATTGAATACACCAACATCGTTAATTGTATGTTCCAAGTTACAGTTAATGTAAATAACAGTAATATGTAAGTAGAGGATAATTAATTCTGTATCATATTATATAGAACAATTGACTAATAATAGTACTCTCATACGTCTGTTTCACGTACGTCTCACAGCCCTAGTATACACCGTTTAACAGTGTAGTAAAAACTAACAGCCCTCTATGACGGAGTTTGCGGTGTCGAGTCGCGCAGTGTGCATTGTACATTTACATTAATGTTCGTGTTATAATTCCAGCCAGCTACATCCAATTATGCAAACGGGATCAGAATACAATAGACGATTGCGTGCGTCACTCCGTCGAGGCGCTGAGGCCGAGGTTGGCTGCTGGTTTGCCGGAGCTTGATGTCCCGGGTATTGATCCTTTCTACATACATGAGGTATCTATTATTTATTTACTTCTTTGTATCCTCAATAAAAATTGATTTTATGCAAAAATTTCTAAAGCTTATAAAAATTGATTCTGTCCGAAAATCTCTATTGCTTCTGTTTTTTGGAAGCATTAGAGATTTTTGCATAGATGAATGATAAGTTTTGTACAAAAATTGTGATTGTGGATTTGCGCATGCGGACAAATCCATCAAAATGAATATATGCAAGCAAGCAAATGTGCCGTTGTGAAAAAATTTACTATCATTGGTATTGGATGCCATACTTTTTGCTACCATTATTCATGGTTGCATAGATTTATTTTTGGTTTCGTTTGCAGAAGGGTACTGTGAACTCTTACGTAGTAGTGTTCTTTGCTCTCACTCTATGATGGTAATGGTAATGGTAAATACAATAAAAATATTAAAATTTATTATAAAAACAATTGTTATATTTTTTTCAGATTAAAGTAACCGCAATTGAAAGTCCTCTGAACATAGTGGGCAAAAATGTAAAGGTCACTGGTGTTGGCAATTTCACTATTAAAAGTTTAAGGTAAATATTTATTATTTCTTTCTAATGATAACTTAATATATTGTTAAGTGCTTTAGCTATTATAATGGAATGAAGCTAGTAGAAAAAATATTTTGGATACGGCAAAATATGCCTTTTGTAATAGATGTTACTCGCGATTTCATCTGCTTTTTGAGATCTGCGATTTCATCTGCTTTTCTCAGTTATGCAATCTATCTTCACATCAATTAAAAATTATATTCGAATAGCGCCATCTGTTGAAGACCCCAGAAAAAGCGGCATTGCATTCGGAACATAATCGACTTGGTTGTAATTTATCGGTCAAAAGCAACAAATAGCTTATTAATTCTATGAACTGCTAATAGGTAGCAGCACATTATTAAGAGTATTACATTGCAACTACCAACAACTTTTGTAGAGGGTTACTTAGAAGTAAAGAGTACAGCCAAGTTGAAAGCTAGTGTCAGTATCAACGGCAGTGACCAAATTACCCAAATAAGAAAGTGAATACCTGGAAAAAACTACTAACTAATAAAAACGTTTGTATATATTGCATGGTCACGTAATAAATTTAGTATATATATGTAATATTATGTTATCTGTGGTATATAGTAGTTTCTATTCAAAATTCAAATTGAGGGTAGTGTTAGTGGTTCGAATCTTGGACACCTCAGGGTTAGGCTGTCGTGATCTTGATCCCTTTAATAGGACAGGGGATCGGATACCAAATAAAACGTGAAAATATCTTTAATTTAATTAAATATATATTATGGTTCTTTTAAAATATTATTCTCCTGTTATTTTTTAAGCGCTATCTGTTACTTTTGTCTTTTCTACTGTACTAAAAAGTAGAATAAAAGATCGCTGTATGTATATAACTTATTTCTTGTTAAATTATAATTCTTATTATACACATTTGGTACAATAAAGAGTTAATTTATAAATAAACAAACGATATTCACTTTGTTGTTGTTACTCTAGCTATGTGAGACTTTTAAAAAATTAAGCACGCGGCTGGTATTAATTGAAATTGGTCTATTATTATAGCAACTTATACTTACTTATTTTATCATATAAATGAATTTGTAAATTACATGTTATGTATTTTATATTTGTATATTATATATTTCAGCGTCGATTTGGATACATTGAATATAAAACTGCGTCTGCGCATACCAAAGATGCATTTAGATGGCGCTTATAAGTTGGACACTAATATATTGATGGGTTTACCGATCCATGGGGACGGAAACCTTAAGATTGACGCAGGTAAGATTGTTATTACAGTAATAATAACCTAGGTCAATTTACACAGCACCATCTAGTTAGTCTAGATGCTCGTGTTTTGCGTACCTAATAGACAAATGGAAAGATAAATGCATTTTATTTCTAAACATATTCTTTGTTTGCAACATAATATTTGACATGAAAATGTTAGGTTGGTTTTTTAGCGAAGATGGATCTTAATGTGGGCGATAGAATGAATGGACTGTATGCGTGATGTAAATCAAACAATGGATAAAAAAAGGTAAATACTTATAATGAAGATACGATTACAAACGGTTCTAAGACAAAAAATAACAATAAAAATATATGACAATTCTAAATAAAATACATTTAAAATTGGTAGATAAATAAATATATAAAAATGTGTAAAGAGTTTGCAACAATATACATAGAAATCACCAGTATGAACAATCATACTTATGAATATAAATATTTGTCGTATCGTACGCGGAATCGAATTCATGACCATTGGAAATAAGGCGGTATGTTTAATCGCCAGACCACAGAGGCCGTGTATTATGTACTATAGTTTAGACAATAAATTTTCGCGCGAATGTTAGAGTCGCGGTAGAAGGCTAACGAGACCCAATGGCTGTTCGGAGACGCCGACTGGTTTTTAATTTTCATCTTACCCCATCTACTATTTTTGAAATAGGAAAAGATTAGATTAGGCTACATTTAATACTGTTTATTTCTTTAAAACAAATTTTAATTTAGTCCTGAATCCTGGACTGGAATTATAAAAAACAAGTATACACGAATCTGAGTTCATTAACTCCCTCTCCTCCTCCCAAACATATACATAGTTTGTAGACCTAATTATAATTATTTATCTATAATCCTAATATTTCAGTGAAATGTGACGCCGATGTTATGTTACACACCGAATTTTACGATCAAAATGGCGTCGAGTACATGAGATTTACTAAAATGGACAACAATATTAATATTAAGGATTATACTATCAAGATAGATGGACTTTTTAATGGAAACCAAGCTCTAGGTATGTTGACATAGGTATACACATATTGGTATCCGATATGATTTCGGTTGTCATAACATTTCATGAATTTCCTCTCGTTTTATAATAATTTATCATTCTGAATAAATCATGTGCCGTGACCACAGAGATAATAATTTATATTTAAATTAATATTTCATATGTGGGTTTGTCTATAAGGTATTTATATGGATCGTCATTGGAGAATATTTTAAAATTTTCATCGAATTGTGGTCAAGTTGCGTTGACGAAAATGCCAAATATTGACAATGTCTCTGCTTACTCCATTTGGAATTATAACCGTGAAGATATTAAATATTATTTATGAATTTTTCAGGAGACGTTGCTAACACTATTCTCAACCAGAACCGAGGCGAATTCTTAAAGGTGATCAAGCCTACCATGGAAAAGACTGTTACAGAGTTAGTGCTAGAAATGTCGAACAAAATAGTAGACGGTATCGCTTACGATGATCTGTTTCCTAAACCATAGACAATTTATGTATGACATATTATTAGTTTAAAATGTTTTCTATACAAAATAGCAAAGAGTACATAATAATTAGGATCTAGAATTAATTAAGAATATAGAATTACGTCGTCTATTTTATTGAACCATCCGAAGTTTCAGAAATAAATTCGTGGTTTGATTAAATTATATTTCTTTTGAATACATTTATAGAATTATTTACAGAAATATTTCGATTTATTTTGATAATAATTTAATTTGATTTTATCTACAGTTTAGATAAAAGACAATTGAGTAATATCCATACATTTTCATTTAAATCGCTCATTTCGGTGTGTGATAAATATGTGTATTATAGAGCTTAGCTGTGATTATTGTTAAGTTTCATAAAATCATCAGAAATACTGAATATTTGATTGATTTTTCACAAAAACTTTTAAGATGTATAATTATATAATATTGTATGTACTTTGTATTTACGGAAGCAGTAAGAGGACTTATGTATTAAAAACAATTATTGAGTAATAGTTTTTAATACATAATTTAATACATATTTTCATATTTGACAATAAAAGCAGTTGTATTTTATTCAGAAAAAGGGATCTTATCACTACTTTTTAATTTTTTCATAACTTGCTTCTAAGTTTTTATTTTTCAAAAATGAATAATAAATTGTTCTGTATCTGCCATATGTATGTATTTTTGCAGCAAGCAGAATAAGTTCTACTGCATTATGCCAAGCTATATTTATATAAAAAAGTACCACTGTATTAGTTAGTTATATTACATATAACACGATAATATATGTATACTGCGTGTATGAAATGTTATATTTTTATAATCTATGAATTTTTTTCTAATTATTTATGCGGTTGGTATTGGTTTTACGTCAATAAGTATATTTTATTTCTACCAATGCTCATTAAACATTAAATAAATGCATATTCCGTAAACAATTGTATAAAAATATCAAATAATAAGGTCTGTTTGTTTTCTTTGTTTTTTTTCTAGTTCTAATAAATTTGTTTATTATGAGATTTTTTTTTCCTTTGGGCAAGTTTTCGTCAATGAATTAGTTAAGTCAATCGATGCAATTGAATTATTCGCACTGAATAAATCTGGACTCTAATTAGTTTAAAAAGGAAATCATCGAAATTCAGAATAGGGGCAAAACATATGCAAGGAGAATAATAATAGTAACTCGGGTCAATTTACACAGCGCCATCGAGTCCTAAGATAAATAAATAAATAAACCATTTGTACCAGAATTATTTGATATTTCTGTTCAAAATGACTCTTATATTTATTTAGGAAATAATAATGATAATAATAACCGTGGACATTTCACACAGTGCCATTTAAGCGCACTAGACAACTAATGGCAATACTAAAATATAATTTTTATGTAAATACATAGTCCGAAACTTCTTAGACCAATACAAAGAATCATACTGAAGAATTCAAATATTTACATCGTGCGAGAAATCGAAGTCACGACTATTGGAAGTAAGGCGTAACCATTATGGCTATTAAATAAAGTAATAAGTAATATATGTTTTCACTTAACAAAATTATATGTATATTAAAAAGAAAAGGGGCGAGTACAAATGGTACTCCAAACCTGCGGAAGGACTTATGGAGTGGCTGAAGACCAACTCCCGCATGACGGATACGACTATAGTCTGAGGACACCGCTAGGGGTTCGAACCTCGGCTCAGGCCGTCGTAATCTCGATTCCCGTTTGAATTGGACTGGAAATCAATCGGAGTGGGTCATTTAAGACGTGAATTGATCCCTTGTATTCGAAACGGTATTGGCCTCTATAATAGTATTTTAAATAACCCTTTAACTAAAGACGCAACCAAAATTATTAATATTGTCAAAGTAAATCTACCATAGTTTAGGCACTATGTATTGTTGCCAGGGCCGGCGGAAACGGGCATGCAAAGCATGCGGGCGCCTCGTTGAAGGGGGCGCCATCACGAGATTCGGATATATACTATAATTTTATTAAAAAATATAAGACAATGAGCTCAATTAGGTTATAATTTATGTGGCTAAACAACAACAGATAATGAAAAAATGAAGAGGATCTGTTTGTATACTTTTTTTCTACATCGTTAAAATAAAACATTTTTTTCATATTTCTTACAGTTATCGAGTTTTTTTGAAAAAAGTGTTTTTGTACTATTTTTTTATTATTTTAATTTATCCCTTCAACTTAAATCAAAATTTCTTTCTGAATATTATTATTCACGTATTTGCGGGCTTACTTTTATATATTGCGCCAAAACTGGTCACATCATGGTTTAAATAAAAATTTTACTGGAGTAACCCGGGCAGGACGATTGCGAAAGCATTTTCCATCTTCACAGTTAGATCTTATTTCTGGGTTGCCAATAATCCGCGAGTTGTCAAGTTGCCGATTGCCTTGACCGTTCTTGCCTCACCAGTGACAGCCACTCGCTGAAACTATGTCCGTAGGAAATTGGTATACCTAATTAATTAAGCGGGACGAACCGACGACCAATTGAATTTATATAAGTGTAGTGAAGTAACATATTATTTAATATTAGATTATATATTTAACTAATCTATATATAGTATTATATAAAATTGAAGAGTTTGTTTAGTTTGAACGTGTTAATCTTTGAAACGAAATGTAGGATTTGAAAAATTCTTTTTATATCTTATTGTGTATCGCTTGAGGGGTAGACTTGATGGGTTATTAATATATACATAGTATTTACTTGATACGTGTTAATATCATATATATATAGAAAGAAAAGGTCACAAGAGATGGTAAACAAAAACGAAGTAATTATGTTGTAAGTGATGCAGTAAGTGCCTATACTGCGGGTGCGGGTTATATTAAACCAGGGATAACCCGCGTTAACAATTTTAAAATATAATCTATACATATAAATAAAATTGGAGTGTCTGTTTGTAATACTGAAATAACCGTTTTTTACTACATACATATGAATAACGAATACGGTACATACACCAATATAACATTTTTTACAATTTTTGTCTGTCTGTCTGTCTATTTGTTCCGGCTAACCTCTGAAATGGCTGGACCGATTAGACGCGACTGTGGCAGGCAGCTGTTATAATAAGAAGTAACTTAGGCTGCTTTTATTTTAGAAAAATAAAGTTGAATTCCACGCGGATGAAGTCGCGGGTACAGCTAGTAAATGATAACCCTGGATAATTGGGGGGAGGGGATTGTTTGTATCCTCCACGCGGTTCTTGAATCTGGAAACCATCGTGATAAATTACTGTGAATTTGTCACGATGTGCTAACTGACTAGACCTAATGCTCATTTTCCACTGCCCCATATACTGTTAGTGCAGGCGGGTGCAACCTTACATTATCGTGGGTAAAAAACCCGATAATTTCCACAACGCCATCTAGTCTCAAACAAAACAGAGCTTCTTTTATGGATACTAAACAACTGTACTTAAATACTTTTCTTCAACACATACATAATATACATAGGAAACACCCAGCTGGTACAAACAATCATACTTATGAATATAAATGTTTGTTTTGTACCATGTGAAATCGAACCTACAACTATTGGAAGTAAGTGTGCATTCTCTAGACTACCGAGGACGTCAAATGAAATGTAGTCCGTAGTCCACTTTATTCATTTCAGAAAGGGAATTAATTCCCACACGCTGGAACCTAACTGGTCTCGGACAGTGCGGTTTTAGAGAAGCTTCCTCCCACGTACTTTTAGATTGTGGAATGAACTACCTACCGAGGTTCTCTTCAGAGATTATAGCATTGGGTTTTTCACGAAGGGTATATAAGGTTTCTTAAGGGTCAGCAACTCGCACGTGACACCCCTGGTGTTTCAGTCGTCCATAGGCTAAGGTAACCGTTTACCTTCAGATGGGCCGTAATCTTGTTTACAACCTAGTATAATAAAAAATCCTTACCTCCTTTCAACAGCGTGCAAGCTACCATGACCATCAATATCAAATCTCCAAAATTTTAAGTTCCTAAATATAACAGTCATTGTCAAATACCATATGTCTAACCTTATCAAAATTATAAATATGAAAGTAACTCTGTCTATCTGTCTCGCTTTCACGCCAAAACAACTGAACCGATTTAAATGAAATTTGGTACGCAGATAGCTAGACGCTGAGAAAGAACATAGGCTAATTTTTGATGAGAAAAAAGGGTGGTAAGGGTTTGAAAGGGGAGATGCAAGATTGTATGGAAGAATTGTCATCTTTATTTTTTAGGCTGTTTGAGTTGTATGTAATTCTGTAATTTAAGGTCAAGGTCACTGTTTTATACGGACGAAGTCGCAGGTACAGCTAATCTTATATATAAAATTCTCGTGTCACAATGTTAGTTTCCATACTCCTCTGAAACGGCTTGACCGATTTTTATGAAATTTTACATGCATATTCAGTAGGTCTGAGACTCGGCTACTATCTATTTTTCATATCCCTAAGTGATAAGAGTTGTCTACTCCTAACATTATTTTTTCTTTTTTGTTAAATTTTTTTTATTTATATTTTTATATTATGTGTCATTAAAAAATACATACAACCCTAAATTTTCACCCTTCTATCACCAACTCCTATTTTTTATAGCGTTATTAATTTATATGGCAAAACAATGTTTGGGACAGCTAGTAACATATGAAGCTGCATTCTGTAATATAATCGTAATTGTTTAATCAACATAAGGTTGCGACGTTGCGGACTATAAATAACTACGTCGATTACAGTTGTAATATTTTCGCAATATTTTAGTAATGCACGTTGCCGTGTGGTCAGTTGACATGGAAAACTTTTAAATTATTATTATTATTATTTCATTTATTTCGGATATTTATCCATCCATATTATGTTTTATAGGGCAAAAGTGTGGGAATTTCACTAGTCCTACACAGACGAGGTAATAGTTACTAAGTACTACATACTACTTATTCAGTGGCCTACTAGTTATAAACCCAAATTTTGAACGAAATTCTTAAGGTCGATTGTAGCCCACATAAAAAAATCCATATATATATATATGTATTTGTATTTCTAGTAACTGAATCTTATGTGGTTGTGGCCCACTCATGCATAAACGAAATCTCTCCTTTGGAAAATTTATACTCTATCCTGAAGAGATAAAAACCATCTCACCTAAGAATATTCTTCAATTCTTGTCTCTGATGGGTGCGTATCTAATATATATGTAAGTCGCAGTGTCTCAGGTCTGAGAACCTGAAAAGAGCCCAGAAACCGCAATAAAAAAATAAAAAAACACTGAAACCTGCAAAATATATTTTGACAAGCTAGAAATTTTAACCATACCTAGTCTGTATTTATTAGAACTTCTACTGGAGAAAAGATGCACCTAATTAAAAATTAAACTGGGGAAAAGAGTCTGATGCTGTAGAATACAATGTGAAGAGACGTTAGCGGTAACTTGTTTCGTAGTTTTACGTTAGTGGAGCACTGTCCACGTTACAAAGTTGTAAAAGCATATAATAAATTATCTGTGGATTTAAAACACTTGGAAACGTCACTAAAAATTAATTAATGTTATGTTTATTGAACAAAAATTAGTATAATTTAGACAAAATTTAAAGTAGAACGATAAAACTTTTTTGGGTTATAATGTAACTAAATATATTCTTTTATTTGGTTATGGTCACTATTCCACGCGGACGAAGTCGCGGGCACAGCTAGTAATACAATAAAACACAATTGTATTATGAATAATATGATGAAAATATAGGTAACAAAGCAAATTTATGTAAGAGACGCCTGCTCGTTCATTTTTACGTTGGCTTCAAATATACTCTGCGCAATGTAGATGAAATAGAATATAATTTATTCAAATAAACTTAATTAAACACTTTTGAATAGTCATAACAAAGTTTTGTTTATCTACCTTTATTTTGTCTATCTATCTACTATAAATACATATTTTGTGATACTGTTTATGTATGTATTATAAATAGGGTTCATTTACTATATACATCAGATGGATCGTCAACTGTTTGCCAGTCCAGTTAAACAAAAAAATAGTACTGAAACTAATGCTCGGTCGGAAGTCTTAATCGTTTAAAGTAAATCAAAATAATTATGCGTAATTGATTAAAAACGCCCGGACACGTTGCAACTTGGAGTCACGTGGCATTTTGCTAACATCCCGGAAAGCGGAAAATAGTGGTAGAGCGTACGTGTATCGCAATAGACCGGACGCTAAATGTCTATGGTTCCGAGAGGGCAGGTTCAATTAGTAAACGTTTTAACACGAGTAAGAATATAATATTTTAAAGTTAATGATTAGGGAATATTCCTGTCGTATATATTATAGGAAGTGCCTCTTTTTTTAGAGGGGAAATGTTCTAAACAGAACTTTTATGAGCGGGTGCGGACGGATAATGTGGGACTTTTATCCACCAAAACCCCCCGGTGTTTCTACACACCTCGATTAAACCGCCGGACACACGGGAGCATAAGATTCGTCCCCACGCCGGCGGCGTTCTCTATGACAGAGGCGCCTTCGAGTGTGGACTACGGGGACCACTCCGTACCCACCCTCCGTGCTCTCTGCCGACACTAACGGTATACGATGACGGTGCATTAGTGGATAATGACAGGATGAGGATGAATACAAATCAGTTATATACAGTGCTTACATCAAAAAATAATTTAAATATATTTTGAACCGATTTTGATGGGACTTACACTTGCGCTGTAGGCTAGTTTTTGAGAATATAAAAAAAATGATTACAAAAATATTGACTTTCACGCTGGCGAAGTCGGGTAACAGCTAGTTTCTAATAAAATTGATTCAACGTTAAAATCCTAATAGCAAAGATTATGACTTAGAACTTTACAGTGTATCTCTCATGCGTTGCCATTCTGGAGTACTAAGATGCTATGCCTTATTCTATTATTTTATTGCCTTATGTTACTACTCAACAACTGAAACACACTTTTCAAAGCAAAAGCTTCGGTGCTAAGACAGGTGAGACAGAAGTTCCACGTAAACGAACTTTACCTACCTCAAACACTTGGTGCTGTTCATATACGGCTACGGTGGTCTAACGGTAATACATCGCTTTACTTCCGATGGTAGCGGGTTAGACTCCTCGCACGGTATAAACATTTGTATTTATATTCACGAGTATGATTGTTTGTGTGTTTGTCTGAGTGTTTTAATGCATATTATGTTTATATTTACTAAAAAAAATATCTTTATAATCAATCGTTTAGTACCCATAACATAGGCTCATCTTAGCTTGGGCTACATGGCGCTGTGTGAATTGTACTAAATAATATTATACCTATAGGCATGGTTACAGTTTATGTAGGAGAAAAAGTTTTTTAGAAAAAGATTTGTTTACAATTATAAAAGAGCTTTTTGAAAAGTAACTGCTGTAATTTAAAATTAACGTCGGTAAATGATTTTAGAATCTGAGTGATTGCGTGAAGATCTTTGCACTGGGCAATGTGAATTACATTCGCCGATATACGCACATAAATGGGGGAAGGAAACATGACTAGTAGCTCCATTGCCAGATATGTACAATATCAGGTCGACCATCTAGGTGGCTTAATAAATAAACCTAATTCCTAGTGAATTCGCCATCAAATCTGCCATCTCTAGACATAATACACCTACTATCCATCACATGGAGCCCTACAGCATATAACGACAACGCAGGCAGGTGAAGTATTTCACATTAATTTTGTATTATTTCATATGCATGTTAGTTTATAAGGTATTTATAATATGGGCCTAGTAGCCTGAAATAAATAAATAAATAAATAGTCATCCATTCAAAAAAAAACATTCGGGAGTAAACTCGAAAGCAATGACGAGCGGCGTGATAATAGGTGAATCTTTTTTTTGTTCCGTGTTTCCCGTCACAATGAAAAGCAAAAGGATTCATCTCATACAGCCATTGTCTTCGGTAGTATTCTCATATTATTATATTTCCTTCAAATTATTATCTTCGCAGTTCATATCAATTCAAATGTAGATATTACGTATTCAAATATACATTTCTAAGTTTCTAGGTTCAATTCAATAGATTCTGAATAGAGCGCGGGATCTCAGTGAGCATCATTACATTAATATCTATGTAATAAACAGTTCACCTATAAATAATAATTTGGTCAATTAACAGCGCCGCTCACACAGCTATCGGCTTTTTCATATTGCGTTATGAAGCAATCTTAATTGCTGTCATACGGCAAATTTACAGTAGTTCACACTAGGGATGTGTCATTATGTTTAAAAATCGAATATTAATTGATCTATTATTTTCGTTAGAATAATAATCGATTAAATATTGAATGATTCATTTATTGAATAGTATTGTGGGTTTTTATATAAACGATTATTAGTCCATAACTCTAATTTATGAGCCCATTAACCTGTTTGAGTCCTTGTATTTATTAAGTAGTATCTTAGAAAGTTTTTTCTGGCCATAAGAATGAAAAAATATGGATTAATTTGAATATTAAAATTGATTTTTTATTTTCTCTATGATCGTTTATTTTTCACATCCCTAGCTCACACGCGAAATATTCGCCAAACAGTATAGGGCTGATGGACATTCTCGTGTCCTTACCGGTTTACGCTCCACTGGTGGTGGGTGGTGGATGGTGTGCGCATACGCAGTGCCGGCCTGCATCGCGACTCGGCTAGCCGATACCACCGCGTACCTAGTAACTCGTTCGTCGGTCGTGTTACGTTGTGCAACCGATCGAAATGTTGACAACAGCTGTGGTACTGTACTTGCTAAGCATCGTGACCGCAGACCTGCGTAAGTGTTAAAAGAACTATTTGCAATAACTACTGGCTTTCAGAGACTAGTCTATTCGTTTTTGTATGGATGTAATGATTATGGATAGATTATATGTCATTATTGTTAGACATAGACTTATATACGTATATTGTATACTTATTTACTGGCTTTAAAAAACAGAAATTCCGCCGAATTTCTTGCTGTTCTTCTCAAATGAATCTGTATACTGGACTGGAAGATAGGGAAAAAATATTAATACAAAAAACTTGACGTTCATGAGCGACTAAAATGTCCTACAAGAATAAATAATTTTTGATTTTGATTGTATGTCTTAGCTATTCTAATCGACTATTTAGATGATTGTTTTTAGCAATAGTTAAGGTTTACATCCACACGTTACAAAACCGCCACAGTGCAGTATAGATGGTTTATGTAAACCGTCCTATTTCATGAATTAATTCAGTCATTTAGAATTAATATTACCAAAACGATATTTTTTTGAGTGTTTTATGTTCAAACGTTATTTTAAGATTTTGTGTCGATATCTTACTAGATAAATTAAAATAACGGTTTTGGTAAAAAATATTTATACATAAAGCTATATAGTTATTACGGTCACGGTCGGTGTAAAATGTGATTATTACGATCTGCTGAAAAATTAGTTGACGAGTTTAGAACTAAACTAAATCGATATATTTCACGGATTATCGAAAAAACAGTCGATGATTTGATTCACTGCAATTAAGAATCATTACAGTGGCCAATTTACGTCCTCAGAAACTATATTATCCTTGTCACAATATGAGTAAGTCCTCTTCCACTGATCTCTATCAGACATGACATTGTTTCTCTATTTTAATTATTAATCAGAAATAGAGATCTGTCAGAAGTAATATTATTTTGTTTTGTTTTAAATATGTTTGGTATTATTTTACTGAACATAGGAATTGTAATCTACAACCTTTCCTGAAAATCAATAGAATGTATACGGCTTTGATAATACTGATTAAGTTTTCCATGATCGATATTAACACGGTTGAGTATTGTGCTGTAATTAGAAGTTACACTTGTAATAAATTATAACAATATTAAAGTATATTTATAATTATATTAAAGTATAATTAGGCTCAAAATACATAATTAAAATAAGGGACATATTTTCGGGTTATTTCTATTAGTATATTTTCTCTATTGTATTAAATTTAACCATTTGAATCATTGGTTTTTTTATTATTATGTAATGGTTTGGTGCGGTGGTACAGTTATTGTATTGTGGTTCAATAATAGTGAAATAATATAGCAATACCAGAGCAAACACATTGAGTTTATATAAACTTTTTCATGTATCTAAATAAAAGTTTCAAATAGTTACAATATATTCACAAATTTTTGTCTTTTAAGATTAAAAAAGACCCGACTATATTTCCTTTTATTTTGATGACACTCAAGTCCGTATATTCCTTATTTTGCTAACTTGACTTGAAAATAGAAAATATTTTTAATTTATTATACATACTTATATTTTGATATGTATGTACCTGTACTATGATATACGATATTTATAAACTGCCTTAATAATACTTTTTTTTATATAGAGTCGTTTTAACATTGTCATCAAGCTGTAATTTTTATTGTAAAATACATTTATACTTTCATCACATGTCAAATAAGATTTTGGTGACAATTATAGTTAATTGGCGTACTTATTTTAAATGTTTTTCTTATAGGCCACTTTATCTGTGAGTCGCTCAATATGGCGGGCCGGCGATTGCGTTGAGCCAGTATTGCAGAACTAAAGGATTGCGATACTCGCTGATGCTGTGTTCACTTATAATAAACACATATGTGAAGTAAGCTGTGCCGGTTTTAAGGGGCCACCGGTTCATTCCGAAATATAATAATAATAATAAAATACACCGTATACGACTCTTAATCAGATGGGGTAGATAGAATTACTAATTCGACATGTTGGCAAAGATAACACTTGATATACCCATATTTCGCTGGGTATATATATATGTATGAATCCAGCGTTATCTTTTTCAAATTATATCTAGTTCTTATGAGATATTGATTTTAATATCCATACCAGTATTATAGGAATAAACATATATAAAAGATTAAAATATAAGAGTACTGAACAAAATATAAATATCTTTATTTCATTATAAAATTGGTTTACATTATAATAATTATAACCTTAGATAATTCCGACAGCGCCATTTAGTCTCAGGCTAAGTAGAGTTCTGTTATGATTACTATACAATTGATGTAAATACTTCGATTTTTGTTATTAAATACATACGATAATATATATAGAAAACACGCAGACCGATACAAACAATCATACCCATGAATATAGATGTTTGCGATGAATCGAACTGGCGACTATCGGAAGTAAAGCGATATGCTAAACTAGATTACTGAGGCTACCGATAGATATAATAGTGATTAGACTCTTCCCCAGAACGTGACATGCAAAATAAATTAATGTGGTAAATTATATTAGACATTTTGATCACATTGTAAGGTAGTGACTTCATTCCATCTTCCAACTAACATCAAAATTTTTAGACCCGTATTTATAAAAAAAACGCTATCTTCTAGATGTAAGTTTTAATGGGAAAATTAGGTTATATATACATCCTTCTGTTAAAATGACATTAAATGCAAGTGCTCTAAGCTTGCTAAGAAATAATATAACAGGAAATTCTTTGTGACAATTTTCCGTAAATTCGTTCTTACTAATATTATAAATGCTAAAAGTTTTGTGTGTATGGATGGATGGAAAGAATGAATGTTTGAAAGAGTACTCAGTTACTTACTGAGTACTCTTTCAAACATTCATAACCTAACCTACACGTTATAATTGCTGAATGGATTTTGTTTCAATTTTACAGTAATATAGCTTATACATCAGAATAACATATAAGCCATAAATTTCATGCGGGTGAAATCGCAAAGACAGCTAGTGTAACGTAAAATAATATAACGGCCGCTGTCTGTATGATTAGATGTTTTAAACTACGCAACAACTTTTAATGCAGTTTGCAGCAATAGATAGAGTGATTCAAGAGGAAGGTTTATATGTATAATATATGCAAATTATAGTAGAGAAAAGTCGAGAAATTCAATGATTTGTAATGCACCCGTGCGAAGCCGGTGCGGGTCACTAGTTATTACATAAATGTAGAAAATATTGTTCATAAATAAATTATGATATCCATTGAGTAATTAGTTGAATGGAGAGAACTTTCGAGTATAAGTCAAGGACTATTAGAGTGCCAGGCTTGGTTGCATATTATGATCTCACAATTATTACTATGAAAGAACGCTGAGGTCAGTGTTTGGCCATTGATTTTATTAATTGGACGACAGTTTTACTTGTGTTCAAATTAAAAATTATGACTTTCAATATTTATAGATGTATTTATACACAAAGTTTATTCTCTCAACATATATTCTATTTATTTTGTTTTAAAATACTAATTTAATATGTAGTAATCATTTATAATAGTTTTATACTCATTTTCCTATCTGTCAGTTTTTTAAATATAGAATAAATAGTATTTATTTGATTTGTCAAATTTAAAAATTTATGTTGTACATAGGGTATCTAATATTTTTATCCTTTTGTTAAGACGAACCGTCCGAATCCCTCACTAAAAATTATGATGCTAAAGGACAGTACATTCAGTAGAATAGTACATTCACGGGGTACATTGGCTACTTTATCGGGATAAAGTAGCCAATGTACCCCGGCGGGCCAAATTAACCGGGGTTAATTACGGCTTCACAGAAGAAGTCGTAGCAGAATCTAGTTCTAAATATAGCTGGTAGGGTGATTTAAAACAGCTACTTAATAACTAGCTACCCATCCCGGCTTCGCACGGGTGTACATGTACATATAAACCTTCCTCTTGAATAATTCTACCTATTAAAAAACATTTCAAAATCCGATGCGTAGTTTTAAAGATTTAAGCATACATAGGGACGGACAGACAGCGACAGTGACTTTGTTTTATACTATGTAGTGATGATTCATCAATAAATATGTTTATATTAAGCAGAAATTACTGTTCTCAAGAAAATTAATAAATTTAATGTGTTTTCAGTAAGAAAAGTGGCGTGTGTATTGTTTATACCGGCGCATTGTTATAATGCTATGACATAATATACGTTCGCACACTTGCGGGACCTGTTTGAAACGGCTACAACAGGATTAGCAAGTAGAATTCTTTAAAATTGTATAAACCCTAATACTGATATTTTTAAACTTAAGCGTTTAATACACATTATTAATATATGTATATTTATATACGTACGTATAATTAGTAAAAGTTTCAACCGCCATGATCGCTTCGGCAGAATCAGATCCCGAAATCTTTACTAATTATATCTATAAATAATGACCGCATCAAAATTAAAACAGTATTATTAATATACTTAATAGAGTCGCAACTCTAACAATTTTAAGTCATCATCATCGCAGCTCGGAAGACGTCCACTGCTGGACATAGGCCTCCCCCAAAGATCTCCACGACGATCGGTCCTGCGCTGCTCGCATCCAATGCCTTCCAGCGATCTTAAGTAAATAAAGATATTTATTTACCTCTTCGACGTTTGGACTAGGTTCAGTAATATTTGTATGGATTGTATTGTTGCATTGAGACAAAGGTACACATTCTTTTAGAAATCTGTTGAAAAGATATGTAGATAATATTTTCTTCACATTTAAAATACCTAAACTTTATAAATGTAATAACTAAATTTATAGTAGAAATGGATAAAGATGGGTCACTGGTCTTTCTGGACATACTTGTTATGGTGAGATCTGATGGCTCGGTTATATATAGTATACAGTATATCGGAAATCGAACAATAATAGCTTCAGGCTTCATCACATCTTGATGGTGATTTCGCGGATGCGTGACATCTGTAGTTATCACTTTCTTAAACATGAGCATAACATTTCTGTGACCCTGAATGTGTAGTAGGCAAACTATCCTAAACTATACTAGTAATATAGAAATGCGTACGTAATTCAAAGGCAATATAGGCGCGTAACAATAGCTAAGAAACAGGAGGTGAACGGACAAGTAGCGTATATGACGAACTTAAGAGGAATAACGGACAAAATTGAACCAGTATTGAATAAATACTCAATCAAGATTGCACATTATCCGCCCTCAAAAGTAACGAACAATTTACGATGTCGAAAAGATACGCTACTGTACGTAGCTGCAGGAATTTACAAAATTGACTGCAATAGTGGCAGTTCTTGTATTGACCAAACAAAACGTTTAACAGCTAAAAGGGTAATAAAGAGCATACGAGTCCAGATCGCCACTGTTATCTACAAATATCATGGGTGCTGATTGAATTAAAAATATCTCAGTTTCATCCGGGTGACACAGTGGAGTAATTTGAAACAATCATACTCATTATAAATTCTAATCTTGTAGTATTGTTGTCGGCCGGGTCGTTTTATTACTCTAGTATCGTTGAGTACAATGATGGCTTTTCCGCCATAGAAATAAAACACATTCAAACAGTAAAAGAATTTCTCAAATTGGTGCAATATTTACGGAGTTTACTTCCCTTATAACTAAATGTGTTCTCTTTATAATATTAGTAGATTTATGCATTAAAGATTTCATAATTAAGTATACTATCACTAACTTTCAGTGTTGGATATCGCTTATAAGTAATCCCGCATATTAATACAAAAAGCGAATGCTATCCAGTTGTCGAGAATACGTAATGTTTTTATCGCAACCAGATTATATTCCCATTATTCAATATGTGTCATCCTTTCTTTGTATTTAACTAATTATTAAAATTTATTTGTTTTAGCGCCATACATCAAAGTTTGTCAGCGTAATGACCCAAACGTTGACAAGTGCATCATTAACTCAGTGGAAGAACTGCGACCTAAGATGATAGAGGTAGATATAATTAAGTCTATAAATAGTATAAAAAAATAATATAAATATAGTATAAAGTATAATATACTATAAGTATAAAGCTATTGTAGCCTGTGTCCCTTTTACTTCTTCTAAAGCACTCAGTTTACCAGAGGTAGACAGTAAACTACCTGTCTTACCTATTTGAGCTGCCAAGCAGGTTGTATTGTAAGCTGTGTTTCGGTTAGGTGCAGATTGGGCAGTGAAATTACAGGATAAGCGCACGACGTCTTAATCCTTTGGAACTGGTAACGCATGATTATCATGATTATCACAGGTGTCACTTGATAATGTATTGTCTGTAGTGCTGTTCATGTGCGATGGTTACCGCTTACCATCAGGTTAGTAGTTAGCTTGTTTGTTATTCCAATTAAATAAAAAAATCTGGGTATTCACTATCATTTAAAGAATTTCATCAGCTAGATGACACGTGGTAGCAAAAATGCCTATCAGCGGGACTATACAGAAGGCTTAGATCGCTAAAATATACGAAGTTGATAAATTTAGGTTTAATATTAACTTAAGTATGTGAACTAAGCTATGTAATAGGAACTAAGTTTCTATATCATATTCCAAAGAAGCACTTAGCAAGTAACTTAAGTATTTTACGAAAAACCATTTTTCTTTTACTTCGAAAACATTTTTAATTGGTGTAAATATATATAACAATAAAGAAACCAGCCACAGCGCCATAATTCAAGGTACAGTTTAGAATCCACTGCATGCCTATATGGCAAATAAAAAAACAAGAGACTAACAATTTTAATTTAATATAAAAACAATACAAGAGACTAATGGGAAAAAAAATTGAGTATACTCCTATACAGACAATATAAATAATATGACTTGAAAATCTCATATAGATTGCATTTGTAGGAAAAAATTACAAACCCTACGCTTTACATACATATATTAATTATAACAATAAGATTGCAAACTTACTGACAGTAATAACTGCATATCGTAGAGATGTTGCATCTACAATGAGATTCAGAAGAATAATTTGAGGAAATTCTCCGGATAAAATTAGTCTAAATGTGTTCTAAACACAGAAAAAATGCGTACGAGTATTATTTCAATTTTCCAATACAAGTAATACTTCAAAGATTTAAATGTGTTACTTCGCAAATAAAGAATATGAATTTTGAATTTGATTTTGGGAACCATAAGGTTTGTTAACTATTAGGATTCGGTATAAAATACTTCTGAATGCTGTAAATCACTATTACTTAGGTAACTTCTGCAGTTTGATTTATTTTGTGAACTGCATTTGTTTGGGTCACCAGTTGCGAACCTGTCTTAGACTGATTCTTAACTGAATTATGAGGAACTGGAAAAAGTATTGTTGACTTATCAGTTTCATCTACATTTGAATATGAAGATTCTGTAGATGGTCCGTCGGTAGTCTTATTTTCGGAAACGAATTGAACAGATTCTCTAGAGGTATCTTCAATAATAATTGGGGATTCCGTATTGATTATTGTGGCAAATGACGTAGTGTTGGTACCGTTGGTTGTAGCAGTGGCGATTGCCTCAAATCCACTTACTGTTTCTTTTGTACTATTGTGATAAACAGTTGCGATAACAGTTCCTGATGTAGATGCTGCTTGCATAATGGATTTCGTGTTATTAATATTTGACGAATTACTTTCACTTACTGCAATCGCATCGGTCGATACTTCTGTGAACGTATCCTCTTCAATAATTTTGGTAACAGTTAAGGTGACATTACCGTCGGATACAGCGGATGAAGTAATTGTCTCATCTGTATTGGTATCGTTGCTTCCCGTTTTATTGTAAGAGAGCGTAGCTGCATTCGCAGCTGATTCTGTTATGGTCTCGTTTATAGTTATAAACTTTCGAGTTTCTACAATATATTCGGCAGTAGGTGCAGCCGAATCACCAGTCGAGTTACCGGTTGCATTTGAAACAGGCGAAGTAACATTAGATAACGATTCAATTATAACATCATTTTCAATAGTAATCGTTCTGGTTTCATTGAAAATATTCACTGTTGTGTCAGTTTCGGCGATTTCTGTTTCGTTTTTCTTTCCATTCGTTTCCGAATCAGGCCCAATGTCACTGAAAGCCCAGGCGTGGGAAGTTGATTCTGAACCTGTAATATTGTCTTGTTCCGTGGTAATGTTCTTAATTTCGGTAATGGCTATCGGCGATGCAGCTAATTCTGTAATATTCAATGTTTCGTTTGAACCCGGTAAAGTCTTGTTGTACAACAGTGAATCTGATTCTGCAGCCGGCCCAGTTATAACATCTGTTTCGTTTGTAATATTCTTAGTTTCAGTAATGCTTGCTGCCATTGCGTCTGCTGATGCGTAACTTCTGGTTTCGTTTCCATTCACTGTAGGTATGGTTTCTAGGTTAGAATGAGCATCTGCACTGGAAGTTGATTCAGAATCGGAACTGTTGATAGTACTACTATTGGTAGTGTTCGTATTATCATGGGTGTCGTCTGGGGCCTTTGTTGCTTCAGGAATTTCTGTAGTTCCCTTAGTCGCAGAATTTGATTTATTCGCTGAGTCGCTATCTGAATGTGTGTCATTCAGATTAGAGTCATTATTGATTTGGTCTGTCATATTGTCACTCCTCGATTCATCTAAAGGTAAGGTTGTATTAGTTGACTCGGATTTATTCTGAGGTATACCGAAGTCTGTTTCTTTAGACGGAATAGGTGTCGATGTCATGTTATGGAAAGTGTCATTGCCTGTTACTGATTTTGTTGTGTTACCAGTTGTCGAATTGAATGACTGCAGAGTAGAATTCGATGATTCTGAGCCGTTAGAATAAGTGTCATCTGTTGAAGTAGATGTCACATCTGACTTACTCGAGTCACTATTTCCTCCATCTGCTGTATTGTTTGAGTCCTCTTTCTTATTTGAGACAGTTTCATTGGATGAATTGTGTACATTAGAATGAGCATCTTCACCGGAAGTTGATTCAGAATCGGAACTGTTGGCAGTACTAGTATTAGTAGTATTCGTATTACTGTAAGTATCGTCTGGAGGCTTTGTTGCTTCAGAAACTTCCGTAGTTCCCGTAGTCGTAGAATTTGATTTGTTCGTTGAGTCGCTATCTGAATGTGTGTCATTCAGATTAGAATCATTATTGATTTGGTCTGTCACATTGTCACTCCTCGTTTCATCTAAAGGCAAAGTTGTATTAGTTGACTCGGATTTATTCTGAGGTATACCGAAGTCTGCTTCTTTAGATGGAATAGGTGTCGATGTCGTGTTATGGAAAGTGTCATTGCCTGTTACTGATTTTGTTGTGTTACCATTTGTCGAACTGAATGACTGCAGAGTAGAGTTTGATGATTCTGAGCCGTTAGTGGAATGTGGTTTATAATTGCTGTCTGTTGAAGTAGATGTCACATTTGAATTATCCAAGTCACTACTTCCTCCTTCTGCTGTATTGTTTGTGTCCTCTTTCTCATTTACGATTGTTTCGATTGATGAATTGTCATCATTTTTATGTGAAGATTCTGTAATTGATCCGTCAGTAGTCTTATTTTTGGAAACGAATTGAACGGATTCTCTGGAAGTATCTTGAATAACAATTGGAGATTCCGCGTTGATTATTGTGGCAGATGACGTAGTGTTGGTACCGTTGGTTGTAGCAGTGGCGACTGCCTCAAATCCACTTACTGTTTCTTTCGTACTATTGTGATAAACAGTTGCGATAACAGTTCCTGATGTAGATGCTGCTTGTATAATGGATTTCGTGTTATTAATACTTGACGAATTACTTTCACTTACTGCAATCGCATCGGCCGATACTTCTGTGAACGTATCCTCTTCAATAACTTTGGTAATAGTTAAGGTGACATTACCGTCGGATACAGCGGATGAAGTAATTGTCCCATCTGTATTGGTATCGTTGCTTCCCGTTTTGTTGTAAGAGAGCGTAGCTGCACTCGCAGCTGATTCTGTTATGGTCTCGTTTACAGTTACAAACTTTCGAGTTTCCACAATATATTCGGCAGTAGGTGCAGCCGAATCACCAGTCGAGTTACCGGTTGCATTTGAAACAGGCGAAGTAAAATTAGATAACGATTCAATTATAACATCATTTTCAGTAGTAATCGTTCTGGTTTCATTGAAAATATTCACTGTTGTGTCAGTTTCGGCGATTTCTGTTTCGTTTTTCTTTCCATTCGTTTTCGAATCAGGCCCAATGTCACTGAAAGCCCAGGCGTGGGAAGTTGATTCTGAACCTGTAATATTGTCTTGTTCCGTGGTAATGTTCTTAATTTCGGTAATGGCTATCGGCGATGCAGCTAATTCTGTAATATTCAATGTTTCGTTTGAACCCGGTAAAGTCTTGTTGTACAACAGTGAATCTGATTCTGCAGCCGGCCCAGTTATAACATCTGTTTCGTTTGTAATATTCATAGTTTCAGTAATGCTTGCTGCCATTGCGTCTGCTGATGCGTAACTTCTGGTTTCGTTTCCATTCACTGTAGGTATGGTTTCTAGGTTAGAATGAGCATCTGCACTGGAAGTTGATACAGAATCGGAACTGCTGATAGTACTACTATTGGTAGTGTTCGTATTATCATGGGTATCGTCTGGGGCCTTTGTTGCTTCAGGAATTTCTGTAGTTCCCTTAGTCGTAGAATTTGATTTATTCGCAGAGTCGCTATCTAAATGTGTGTCATTCAGATTAGAGTCATTATTGATTTGGTCTGTCATATTGTCACTCCTCGATTCATCTAAAGGTAAGGTTGTATTAGTTGACTCGGATTTATTCTGAGGTACACCGAAATCAGTTTCTTTAAATGGAATAGGTGTCGATGTCGTGCTATTGAAAGTGTCATTATCTGTTACTGATTTTGTCGTATTAGCATTTGTTGAATTGAATGACTGCAGAGTAGAATTCGATGATTCTGAGCTGTTAGAATAAGTGTCATCTGTTGAAGTAGATGTCACATCTGACTTACTCGAGTCACTATTTCCTCCATCTGC